GTTACATTTCCGACGCGTGCTTGTGGTGTTCGGCCAATCACAATGCACTGGTTCAGCTGGCCAATCAGAGCAGACTGCGTTTGTCAAAGGAGGAGGCTTTGGTGAAAACGACATGTTTGAGAGAGGCAGGGCATAGAGGACCTACAATAATGTACAGTATTTGAAAAATAATGTTTTTTTTTAACATTAAAGCATGTCAACATATTCTGTTACACCAAATACACAAAATAATGATCTTTAAAATAGCATCATATGACCCCTTTAATATTTGTTTTAATAAAAAAAAAATCTTACTGAGCCAAAACTTTTAAACAGTAGTGTAATTAATATGGCAATCATATTAATAATATTTAACAAAATAATAATATTTATTATTATTATCATCAATACTTTTTCATATGCTATTATGCAACGCAAATGTTCTTCAGTCTAAAAGGTAACAAATTTATTCAAATTTTTACTTGCAAACAATACATCACATGCAATAAGAAAACCATTATGGTCCAACCTATCATCAGTCTATCTCTAATAATACTGTGCGATGTGCTTATAGAATTAATGCAGGTTTAAATCAACGTCGGGAATCACAGCAGGAAGGCTTCTGCAAATGTAAAATATTTAAAAAACAGGAAATCCATTCCTGCCTGCAGCATTTTAAAGGACTACTTGAGAAGCCCTGAAGGTGTTGTGCATGTGCACACGTGTGTAATGAAGGTGTTCACTCAACACGCACACAGACAGCATGCAAACACACACACTTAGCACTCTACGCATCCCCCTCACATGCAACTGACTCATCTCCATCCTTTGAGACCCCCTCCCCAGGAGCACAAGAGCTCCAGCTAATCAATCTTCCCCCCCCAACCTTTTTATTCTCTCTTGCTCTCTCTAGCTCTCTTTTTCTGTGTTATGGAGAGTCTCAATATCAATCAATAAAAAGCTCCTTGGGCTCTGAAGGTTTAAGGTCACGAGCGCGAGCGTGCATGCTGCAGTGTAGGTAGGGCTGGGCAGTATGACCATATATGCCATGAAACAGAAGAAGTGACTTTGCTTTTCCAGTTATACCGTCAGACCATCCATATATACATACCATATCAATTTCAGGTATATTGCAATACATACTATTTACAGTAATATGAACTTACTCATATTTTGATTGGCTGCACACGCTTTCAGAGGTGCTGTTCACGTGCTGGAATCACCTGCACAACTCACACGCAGATAAAACCACCGGTTCACCCCATTAACAGAGTCCGCTGCACCCAGACCTCTCATCAATCTTTCCCCCCCAACCTTTTTATTCTCTCTTGCTCTCTCTAGCGCTCTTTTTCTGTGTTATGGAGAGTCTCAATATCAATCAATAAAAAGCTCCTTGGGCTCTGAAGGTTTAAGGTCACGAGCGCGAGCGTGCATGCTGCAGTGTAGGTAGGGCTGGGCAGTATGACCATATATGCCATGAAACAGAAGAAGTGACTTTGCTTTTCCAGTTATACCGTCAGACCATCCATATATACATACCATATCAATTTCAGGTATATTGCAATACATACTATTTACAGTAATATGAACTTACTCATATTTTGATTGGCTGCACACGCTTTCAGAGGTGCTGTTCACGTGCTGGAATCACCTGCACAACTCACACGCAGATAAAACCACCGGTTCACCCCATTAACAGAGTCCGCTGCACCCAGACCTCTCATGATCATCACGCTATTATGAGGCGAAAAAATCCAGCCACATTTTCAATGCACCAAAAAAGGACACATCCCACCAGTTAGCGCTAGACTGATGCTATTAAATGAACAAAAGTTAATGAGCGTAGCTGACCTACTCAAGGCAAAAGCAGTAAAGACTAATCAGTGATCTGTATAGTCAAGAATGACCTTTCCATTCGCTCTCCATTAAAAAAAAATGTTCCACGAATCTCTCATAACAAGAAAGGTCATTACACACAACAATCAGGCAGCGAGGGGTGATTTGCGTATGCATTTGACGTATACGAGTATGCACAGCGAGCCCGAGTCCAAGGGCGCGCCAAGATAACACTTGCATATAGGCTTACTGCATCAGCGTTAATATACGCCGCATGGTGCAAAAAGCAACCCTAGCCATGTGGCCCAGGAGTACTTGATCTTCAATACACAACCTAGGGCCCAATAAAATCTGATTAGTTTTTTTCCCCCTAAATTCTGTTTTTTTCCATTTTTTTCCGTTCTAATTTTTCTAGACTCTGTTTTAAATGTTAAATTAAACTTTATTAAATGAAAAAGCATTAAATGAAATCACGAAACGTACATAATTTGACAGCATTTTATTAAAAGTTATTAAAGGGGTCATATGATGCTGCTAAAAAGAACATTATTTTGTGTATTTGGTGTAATGAAATGTGTTTATGCAGTTTAAAGTAAAAAAAAAAACATTATTTTCCACATACTGTACATTACTGTTTCTCCTCTATGCCCCGCCTTTCTGAAACGCGTCGATTTTTACAAAACTAATCGGTCTGAAAAGCGAGGTGTGCTCTGATTAGCCAGCTATCCAGTGCGTTACTCTTAACTTTTATAAAGAATATCTCTTTGGATTTGAGCAAAATCATTTTTAATCAAATGATTAAAGTTGAGCAAAATCATTTTTGCTCAACTTTACATCTGTAAAGTTGAGCAACTTTACAGATCTTCTTTATGCACCAAGAGCTTGTAACACTCCAAAGAGAAAGGAAAAATTTTAATCGCATCATA